TATTTTTAAAGCCAAGGCAAACATACATTTAGATCTATATACAACACTGATCAAAAGTAAAAATTAAACGTTTTTACTTTTATTTATTTTGTGTTTGTGTGTATATATGTGTAGGTGCTCATGGACCATGGCCTACATGTGGAGATCATAGGACAACATGTGAATCCCAAGAATTGAACTCAGATCATTAGGCCTGGCTGCAGACACCCCTACCCCCGGGCCATCTTGCCAGCCTTAAACAACTTTTTAAATAAAATTTTCAGGCAGAATTTTAGAAATAATATTTTTCATGTACTACATCTTCTCCCAAAATAGTGGTATCAAAAAATACAGTACTGGAGACCAGTGGCATCATGTCATACAAACAAAAGATACTGGGAATAGGAATTTAATACACATGGGAAGAGCCATGTCCTGATACTGAAATGTACAAGTTCAGGTGTTCAAAGCCACAGCCTTGGTATCAACACAAAGAAATGACTGAATTCAGTGACCCTCCAAGTATAGTCAACTGGTCAGTGCCAGCCCTCAAACTCAAACTGTCAGCTACTAGTTTTCACAAAGGAATTGTGCCAGAATTAAATCAACTCTGCCAGTCAGCAAATCTTCCTTAATAAAGCAGAGGGTACCTAGATCTATATTTGGGGGAACGTTTCTTAGCCACCAGTAGCAAGCAGACTCCTGATAATTGTCACTATGTGTCACTGTCCTAGTCAATTCTTTCTTTAGGCTAGAAGTATCTTTAGATGGCAACCATAAAGAAAGCAGTATCTGCTCCCCAGAGACATGTTCCAGGAGCCCATCGGATGGGTAAAACCCCAGTTAGTACCAAACCCTATCTCCACTATGTTTCCTCCTATACATATATGTATACATTTAATTCATAAATTAGGCACACCCAGAGACTGGTAACAGCTGAGAATATGCTAATAAAAGTTATATACATGTTGTCTAGGGAGAGAGCTAAGTTGGTGAACTATCTGCCATGCAAGCATGAAGACCTAAGCTCGCTTCCCAGAACCAACATAAAAAAGCCAAGCATGGTGGCACAGTCCACACAACATGGTCACAAATCACACATACACACACAAAGCAGACCAAACTAGTGGTTGTATTGATTGAGAAGTTCACAGAGTAAGGCACAAGAAGAACTGAGGGTTGGCCCAAGTCTACTGTTAACTACTTGTGAGCTTTGGAAAGATGTTTTATCTGTTCAGTACTCTGGTTTCTATTCTACAGAACTGGTCCATGTGATAAACATCCATACTGTACAACTGATCTCCCAGTGATTAACAACTGGAGGTATGACCTCTAACCCATCCTCTGAGCAAACAAACTCCACTGGTCTTTGTACCAGGCTCCATATATTCTTAGAGCAGGTTAAATGATAAGCACATGTCAAACTAAGAGAAAGAACACAAGGATTGATAGCCCTTTGTGAACCACATTCTTATCCTCAATGCTCAGCAACGGAGCTTAGAGAGCTAACTAGCCTGATGCAGTAACACAGTTCAGCAAACAAGGCCGAACTGTGGTTTCCAGGAAACAGAAACAGGAAGGAATGTGCAAAGATGTAGTAGCAACGTCAAAAGACAAAAATAATGAAAAGACTCAGAGGAGACAATAAAGACCTGAGACGTGTGGTAGATGCTTTTGGAATGACTGGAACCATGAAGAGCCTTTTCCCAACAATGCCAAAAAGCCACTGTCCATTGTGTTGGTAATGGGCTTGCTGAAGTAAAGCCAGAACATTGATTCTTTTGAAAATCCAAAAACTAAAAATGAAAGTGGTGAAAGATGGGATTATCACACTACTTCTTTAAAGGTGTTTTACCTCAGTCTAGAACTCAAAGATGTTCTTTAAAAATATTCTAAATAACAAAATGGAACACTCAATACCTTAGGAAGATTAGATAAACATACATTTTTGTTACTTCTTAAATTATCAAGAGGTTCATCATTATATCATGGATTACAATATCTCTAAATGACAAATGAAATTATAGGCTGTCCTTAATTATGACTCTTCTTCCTTTAGAAAAAATGGGAAAGTCACTGTTGTATTTATTATTCTATTTAAAATTATTTAGAAAACTACTGATATGTTCAAATGTTACTCTCCCCAACCCGTACCATCCTAATCCACACAAAGTCAGGTCACAGTGCTGGCATTCCTGCTACTCTAACAGGTGTGTGAGGTACCAGTAAGACTAAATCCCATTCATTCTCACGGTTGTCTCTAAATGCTAAAAGATCACTGATCAGGCAGGAGACAATAAACAGCAATAATATTTATAGGCATCAATGGCTTTTACAAGTGCAAAACCTGTATATCTTTTAAAGTTGGGGAGAACAGAAAAATGCAAGACGTAATATAAAATTTACCTGTAGCAGGTCATAAAAAGTGTATTTCCTTCCTTCACCTATCACCTCTGTGCTCACTAAAAGCCATCACTACTAGCATGTGACCCACACCAGGCCAGGATTTTCCCACGACTTCTCAACACAAATGGATCACAACAATCACTGATTTGTGCAACAACATCGTTCTCCTATGTACCTATACATCTTCTTTTCAAGATGAAGGAATCTACCTCATACATTTGACAGTTGCATAGCACTGTGTGCTGTTACGTGGAGTAAGTTCTGAAGATGGAACAAAGAAGGGCAATGGGACCCACACTGATATCTGGAGTAAACATACTGCATTCATTTTTCTTCTAGATATGAAATCGTAGGTACCATCAACCCCCTTGTCCCTTTGACCCTTATGGTGGTTTGAATATGCTTGACCCAGGGAATAGCACTATTAGGAGGTGTGGCCTTGCTGGAGTAGGTGTGGCCTTGTTGGAGAAAGTGTGTGCCACTGTGGGGATGGGCTTTGAGACTCTCTTCCTAGCTGCCTGGGAGTCACTCTTCTGTTTGCCTTCAGAACAAGACGTAGAACTCTCAGCTCCTTCTGCACCATGCCTGCCTGGATTCTGTCATGCTCCCACCTTGATACTAACGGACTAAACCTCTGAACCTGTAAGCCAGTCCCAACTGAATGTTTCCTTCATAAGAGTTGTCTTGGTCATGGTCATTTTCACAGCAATGGCAACCCCAATAAGACAGCCCTCCATTCCAATCATCCAAGCTCTCCTCACCCTGTCTCAACTCAACCCCCACAGTCTTTGTTTTTGGAGGGCTGTCAGAGAAACCTCCAAAGCTTGCTCATGGGCTTTAGGTGGACTGTGCTCACCACTGTCCCCACTGGGCCCAATCCAGTTCTCGTCCTCTCTCTGAGCTCTAGTGGACACAACAACCTTTCTCAGTCTCTTCATTTCCAAGCCTGCCTTTCTTGGTCCACCCTTCCTTTTATTCACCCTGAATCAGAGGAAGAATATCATGGGTCCTCTGCAAAGATTACTCCTTCAGCTTCTGTTTCACCATCTGTACTACAGCCTCCTCCTCAGTCAGGAAACAAGCTCACAGAACCACCATCTTACTGTTTTGCAAACCACTACCCTCAAAGCAGAGCTATTGCCATCTTCCTAAGACCAGACTGTCGCTTGCAGAAGATGACTACAACTGACCTTGCTGACTCAATGTTCCCTCACAGGAGGAGAGGAGGAAGTGGGTCAATGGACCCTCACTAGAATATCTGGTAACCTTTCCAGCCAGAGATTCTGCTCTAATTTCATATGACCTAGAGTATCTACATTGGGAAAGCTGGGGAAAGGAACTCCACAGGAAGCCACCATCCAGAGTGGGTATAGACCTAAAAGTGAAGCTGCTTCAAGCTCACTCCTGCCCATAACCCCCCACTCAAGCTCTGTAAGCCTAATAAACTCATTGGTTCCCCAGGGTGAACTTTTGATACCTTGGGAATGAGAGATGAACATTGTTCCCATCTCCCTCTGGGAAAATCCTCACAATATACTAACATCACAAAGTTGAGATTCATTGAAGCCCAGGCAGTTTGGAACGTAACCACAGTGCCCACAACAGACGCTTACCTCTAGGAAGTGATATAAAGCAGGGGTGGCAGCAGGAGTGGGGGGTGGGGAGTTGCTTAGAACACTAAGTGGGAAGAGACACTTGTAGAACTCCAAAAATAATAGCAATCAACTTTCTGAGGGAGGAAAAAAAGAGCGAGATGTCCCAGAGACTGACTGCCATTTGTATGGAAAATGATAAAGACACTGCCCATGGAGCATACTTTCTATAGTTGTTTTACCTAGCTGTGGCTTCTAGGTATCAAACTTGAGTCATGAGGTTAAGCAGAAGTGATCTTGAAAGGATATTCCATTAAGGGTGGAGAATAAGAAAATGATGCAGAATTTGTAGTTCCCAAAGCCACCCTCCAGAGGCGGTACAGCTGCTCTCTGCTTCCTTACATCAGGCCATTACATCTACCGCCATTGCTAGTGGCTAAAAGCCACTCTCACCACCGTATCTTCCCTGCCATGATGGACTGTACGCTCAAACTATGAACCAATAACCCCTCCTTCCGTACAAACAAAATTCAAGGTCAGCCTGAGCTACATAGTAAGACACTAACTCAAGAATAAAAAATAAAAGTAACCTGTCATTGATAATGATGTAGCTTATTACAAGCAGTAAAAATAATAGGCTTAAAAATATACTATATTAAAATTAACAATGTATTTATTGTAAACAAAAGGTAGGAATATTTAAGTGTTCAAGTTAAACTTTCTAGAGTTCATAAAACTTTTCACAATAAAAGAACGTGTGTTACTATTAGACACAGACCCTTAAGTTCATGCATGAATCATTATGAGTTCAGATAATATTTTCCAGGTTATAGTATGTGAATTACTGTATCATAATATCTTAAGTCCTATGACTCATATTTTTACCTCTTATTTAAACTCTGACTGGCAACTTCTCATGCCCAATTAGACACACAAAAACAATCTAACTCAATGTTCTGTGGTGGTGGTGTTGTTTAGTACAATGCATGGCAGTGATTAGGCTTTAGATGAGAAAGGCCGCACCTGTTCATTGATCTCTTTCAGCTTTCCATCGATGGCTCTCAGCCGAGACTTCCGATCCCTTTGCTCTTTGCTGTCCCGAAGTATCTTTTCTCCTGGAGTTGGTTCCGTATTTCTTTCTTCATTGGGGTCATGTCCCTAATTTAAAAGGAAGAGAATTCAATTCACTTACAGTGGGTTAGGACATAGCTGCCACAGACCCTGATGTGACTGAGACTTGAGGGTCAACTGTGATGATCAAACGATATAGCCCTTCAACCCATGTTTGCAATTCTTTTCAATTTTCCTATTTGAGGAATTAAAATCCCATATACACATAAAGCAAATGGGGTGATAAATTCAGTGTCTAATATCATCTGTTCTCTGCTCAGTAGATAAACTGTGGTTACTCTGGGCTTCAGGTTTCTCATAATACATTTTATTTTTCATTTCTACTTTTCTATTCTTTGCAAACTTCATACATGTATACAATGAAATATGATCATATCCACTCCCCATTCACCCCCTCCATGCCCCCTGGATCCTCCCCAACATGACCATTTCCCAAACTCATGTCCCCCCCGAAGTCTGTTTAGTGCTCCCCATGTGTACAGATGTGGGGCCATCCACTGAAGCATGAGCAATCTACCAGTAGCCACACCTCGAAAGAGAAATGGTTCTCCCTCGCCCAGGTAACCTCAGCTGCTGTTGTTCCATTGTTACATGTATATTTTAGAACTCTGTCTATGGCATTGGAGGCAGGTGTATGATAACTGGGACAAACTGGACTTGGCAACACCAGAAGCTTGGAATCTTGGTTCCACCTGGCTCCTGACTAAAATGATATTACCAAATTGAGTAATCTTCTCAGAGCCCCCATCTTGTCATCTGTGAAAGGAAAATGAGACCTGGCCAAAGCCATCACAGCACCCAATAGACACGCACAAATCTCAGTACCCACCAAGCTGGACATGCCCTTCGAACACAGGAAGCACTTGGTAACTGCTTCATGGCTGCTGATCATATTATTCTTAACAAAAGCATGGTTGCTTAAAATTAATAGCATTTCTAGGTGGCTAGACATGGGCACTTCTTGATTCTGTATCTACACTAAATGTCCTCTCTCCTCTTCCACAGATAGCCTCCTCCAGGTCACCACACAGGAAACTGGCATGAGAGACCTACATTCACATTCAGTCAGAGTGTGTCTGTGTGTGTGTGTATTCAATACAATTTTCTTAGATTTTTTTATGGTTTTTGAATTTTCTACAGTAAACATGATAATTTCATAAGCAGAAAAATCATTTTTAACTTTTAGGCAAACATAATATTTTACCAACCCTACTTCTGTTCTGTCCTGCTCTTCTGTTCTCTCTGCTAACAGAGTCTCTGTATATTCAAAGCATGTAGGCCTGGAGGTTAGATCTCAGCTCCAGCTCAGCTAGAACAATCAGGGGTGCAGTTAGAATGCCACATCCTCTTTCCTGGTCTTAACTTCTACCGCCTCACCTGCAATTCTGTACACTTAGACTTGGAGGGTATGTGAGACCTTTCCTTGAGCATGCTCTCTGACAGCTTAACCATCTAGTTCAAGTGTCTGAGGAAAACCATGTAATAAAAACAGGTCAAACGGGAGCAATTAAACAAACAAACGTGGGTGCCATCAGGTACCCCACTGCAGATTCAACAAACTCCCCGGGTGCCGGGGAGTTCTTTTCTGACAGCAAGCACCAGCCAGGACTGTCTTTATGATCTTTGAAAATTAATCAGCAGATTCTCCAACTAACAGATTGTTTCTGAGACATCAAAGAGGATTTTATGGAGAATTCAGTAACGGTTCCCCGTGATGTACTCGGAATGTCTAATGGCACCACAAGAGAGAACTAACCCTGAGGTAAACTGATGTTTGTTATTCTAATTGACTACCAAGAGATTTTGAGTTAACCCTCTAAAAGATATCTGTGATGTTGGCTGAGCAACAGAGGCCTTTGAAGCTAAAGAAACTCATTTTTGTACTTGTTGTTTTTGTTTTTTTGTTTTTTGAGACAGGGTTTCTTTGTAGAGCCCTGGCTGTCCTGGAACTCACTCTGTAGACCAGGCTGGCCTCGAACTCAGAAATTCGCCTGCCTCTGCCTCCCAAGTGCTGGGAATTAAGGTGTGCGCCACGAAACTCATTTTTTATAAGTCAAATACAAAGGCCATTACTCAGAGTTTGCTAAGTTATTTGATATTCAAAGCAGCCATGCGTTAAGGACACAGAACTGCCTGGATAAAGTCACCCCACCCTGTGTGTCCAGGATCATTCTCTCTACGTCCACAGGGCGCTCCCACTTCATGTCTCACATGGGTCAGCTGCCCTAACATGCTGAGGAAAATCTTTCAAACTGACTGGTTTTATTACCTTGGAATGTTGCCATGAAATGAAAGAAACCTGGCTGGCATTGGAGGCATCATTGGAAAGCAAAATATAAAATCCCAAACAATTTGTTAGAATGTGGGACAAGAGTTCTTTTCCAGATCTCAATGAGAATTCTGACAGCCTGGCTCTAGAGGTAAGGAGTTCTTATTTCTTCTTTAGTGCAAACACAGATGCTCCTGAAACACATGGACACTCCTGAGACACATGGACACTCCTGAGACACACTGCCACGGTTTATGGAGGGATGTAAAGTCAGGGTTTGTCACACAGACTGATGGGTAACTGGATTCCTGCTTGGAACCTGTGCATTAAATCTGTGGAAAATAGACTTGACAATATACATTTTTCAGGATTACATGTCAAGGAGAGGTCTATTGTTCCTAAATTTTAGCTATCGTTGAGAAAGAAACAAACCAAATCCATTGTTGCTGTCAGCAGCTGTGTGATCTTGGCAAGAAAAGAGATGACTATAAATACAATTTACTTCAAATAGTTGGAGTGCTTGTTTTGTTTTGGTTTACCAGATTGTGTGGGATAGAATTAATAGTCTAAGCACAGGACAGTAAGTCAAGTTTAGGAGAGCCATTATAATCAATTAAGTTAGTTGGTCTGAGAACAAAGAAATACCACTTGTCAGTGAGAGTTGTTCCTGAAGACTCTCCTTTGACAGGGGAGAGGGGTTCAGCGTGGGGAGGGGACCTCTAACCATAAAGCAGAATTCTAGATTTAGTGAGACCGATCGCATGAGAGATGGATAAACTCTGTCTTTACAAGAGCCAAAAAGGAATAGCATTTATTATTGAATCCAGTTGCTGAGGACTTAACAAACTGAATGTTACACAACTTCCACATCCCAGATATTTCTGGAGAAGGCTGGAACCCAATCTATCTACAAATGAGAAAAACACAAAACACAACTGCCATCATGCAACTTCACAGAGTGATTTCCAACATGGAGAAAGAACCGACTGGCTTGTTGTTGAATCAGGACATAGATAAGCACAGATAACCACAGTTAACCACAGACCTTACGAACAAAGCCTGCTTCGGTCAGTTCTCTGGCTCCCAAAGGACGGAGATAGAAGCTCAAGAGAGGTGCAGCCACATGACTTGTTCCTGTTACAGCAGTAGCAGGGACAGAACATTCTTGGTTTTACATGTGCCTACATGCTTTGTTTTCACAAAGAGAAAAAGACAAATGCTGCTTTTCAACTTTTTCAGTAATTAATTAGCACCAGGCATGTTATTGATATAAGGATAGTCACAACCAGCCAACTCCCAAGGTCAAGGAGAAATGTGCTGCTTCCCTTTCTTTTCCAAATGACAAGAGCTTTGGCAATCTCTGTGATCATGTCTAGAGACCCTCAAAGCATGCATCACAGGTTTCCATGCCAACCAACTCAACATCACATAGAAACCATAGAAATCAGCTACGTGAGGGAGCTTGGGCTTCATCTTATCCAGAAAACTATTTTTCTTGACAGCATGATACGGGATAGTGAGTACACAGGAAAGTGGAGAACCAGAGAAGACAACTGCTATCCAGCTTAATCCAGTCTGCTAGCCGACACCGAGGAATCAAGTGAAATGTTGCTATATTTTCTGATGTTTTTTCAAGGAAAAACTAGAAATCAACATTTTTTTGTTTGAATTTACTTTTAAATGTTGACTACAAACATTTGTAAACACTTTGTAAGCCTAAGGAAACCCACCTAGGAATTTACCTGTCTCCACAGCTGCCGTTTCCACCCTGTGCTGTGTGGTGGCAGTCTCCTGTGGCTTTTCTCAGGTGGGTTCTGGAAGTCAATCTCAGGTCCTCATGCTTTTGAGGAAGAAATTTGAGTAGGCCTGAACAATCCTGGAGCTACTGTTTGCATTTTCTAAATGGTGAAATGGAGGTTTCACAGAACCTCTGATTAATGCCCCAGACCACAGAACAAGAGGCAGAGCTAAAACATGACACAAGGCTTGTTTTTTTTTTTTTTTCCTAGCTGAAATTACACTTTTATTTAGGAACATTTCCTTTAGAGATGAGATTCTTAACCTTAAGTCTTGCCAGATACTCCCCATCTCCCCTCCCATCTGGGTCTACCCACTTTCTGTCTCTCAGAAAATAAACAAGCTTCTAAGGAACTATGATACACTATGATATATGATATAACTAACACATTAGTGTAGGACAAGACGAACAGAAGGAAAAGAGCCAAACACACGGCACAAGAAACGGATTTAGATGCAGAGACCCATTTGTTCCAGAGTGTTCTGGAAGCCATGTTATATACACAAAGGACCTATAGAGTACAAGTGGCTGTCTGATAGGCCCTATCTCTTCAAAGTGCCAACATATCCATACTTCAACATATCCATACTTATGAATAAGTTAACAAAATAATAGCCACTGGGGTTAAAGTCATGTCTACCCAAAGCACAGTGATGTCAATAAACAATAAACAACTGATACAATAAATATTAGGGTAGTTCCAGTACTACAGCTGTAGCCATGATTATTATCCCAAACTGACGCTGCTACTGTAGCATATACAGCCCATGTATTTTTATCATCGAGTAAAATTTTATATTTTTATTTATTCATTTGTCTATTAAAGGACTGCTGTGTTACCCCAGTTATTTTAAATAAGTTTGCCATAAATATTTTTAATTTTACATATATTTTAAAGTTACTATATTCAAATATTTAAAAATTGGTAATATACTTTTCATAGTATTTGATAAACACAGGATAATATATTTTCCTTTTGGATATTTGAATGGCAATATGTTTATATACTGGAGTGAGTCTAAAAAACAAACAATGTTATACTTAGATGCAAATGAGTATTATAACTTTGCTGGGTTTTTAATGGTGTTTTTCATTTTTTCCTCTGATTTTTTAAGGTTATAATATAATTAAATGATTTTCCTCTTCCCCTTCCCCTTCCCCCCTCCATATCCATATCCTTCCTTGCTCTCTTTCAAACTCATGGGCTCTTCTTATTTTTTATTATTTGTTACATATATATGTGTGTATATGTGTGTGTATATATGTATATATACACATACACATGTATAATATATACATACATATTCCTAAATATAACCTGCTCAGTCTGAATAATGTTACTTGAAGCAAGGCTTTTGTATTCCAAAATAACCCATGGCCTGACTTATCTTTAAACCCCTGTAACTCCTAATATACAGTAAACCCTCATTACTGTTTGTTGAATTATTTTGAAAGTAGAAATTTAGAGACTGGGGAGATGGTACAGCTGTTAAAAGTATTTGCTGCTCTTGAGAAGCACACAGTGTCTCACAGCTGCCTACAACTCCAGCCTCAAGGCTATGACACCCTCTGCTGGTGTCTGCTAGGGCCTGCATGAACACAGGGGGGGGGGGGAGGGAGGGAGGGAGGGAGGGAGGGAGGGAGAGAGAGAGAGAGAGAGAGAGAGAGAGAGAGAGAGAGAGAGTGTGTTTGTCTAAGCAGGAATTTATATTCCACATAAAAAACATTCTTTTAAAGGTTCATGAAAAGAACTGATGAGCTAACAGTCTGCAGGAGAATGGAAATAAGATGAATTCTTCAAATGCTAAGTGTTTGTGCTCAACAACACATTGAGCCCATTCACTCACTATACAGAGATAATGCATTTATGAATTCTTTCTACTGTGCTTATTCAGAAGATGTCACAATCCAAAACCAATTACCATGAAATAATTTGCTAGGTTTGCACTTTTACTTGAAAATTCAGAGTACAGTGCTGGTTTGACCTAAAAGCTTCAAGAAGAAACTGAAAATACAAGTCCAAATGATATGCTGTTTTGCATGGAAACAAACATTAATTACTTCTTTTCAGCAACTATTATGTTCCTGATCTGTTCACGCATTCAGTGGGAACTGCAAGTGAAGTTATCTCTTCTATTTTCCTTGTTAAAAAAAAAAAAAGTGCTGTTTCACACAATCTCAGCCTGCACAAAGTTGTACATTGGTTTTCCCTTCTCATTAGGTTTCACATAATTTACCTGAAACATAATGTGGACTCTAGAAACTTGATTTAGATGAGGATAACAAAAGCTAGCAAAGACTCACAGTTTACTTGACCTTCTAAAGCCTGAATATCTCTAAAATTCTCAGCCTCGTTCAAGAAGCCTGCCTGATAGCCATGCCGAAGACAGCTTCTCTTTAGGAATACTGCTGAGGCTTTAGATTCCAGCTCTCCTAGAACCCGTCAACTAGATGAAACAGGAAAAGAACAGAGTTTTATTGCCCATCTTAACTGCCTCTTATTGAGCAACAGAACTCAGAAAAAAAAAAAAAAAAAACAAGCAAAACACACTCTAGTTGCTTGTGTCGAAGTCCCAGGGCACATTCAATTACAGTAAGTATTTCTGTCTTCTCTTTCCATGAGCTCTGACCCCAATCCAGAGACTTGCTGAGATCAATGCTTCCAATGCTTCTACCTCAGGGGGTTAGGAATGCCCTCCTCCTGGCCCTTAGAAGCCTAACCTCCAGAAGCTGAGCTAGCTCCCAGAGGTGCTGCCAGGCATTGAACTGTTTCTTCAGGCTATCCTGACAGGGTCTTTGGCTACAGTAGTTTCAAACTGGTCCATGTCCAGATCCCTAACTTTCAATTAGCAATGAATACCTTCTAGAATGGACATACTACAAATTATTGATACTTAAATTTTTTGAAAGATGGGGAAAAAACCCACACTCATCAATATCTGTATAAAAATTGGTTTAGTGAGACTTTTACAATGCTAGAGGAGAGATAGCAAAATCACACATACACACCACACACACACACACACACACACACACACACACACACACAATACTGAGACACTTTCTCTTCACGCCACCATGAACCCCCAATGGGAGCCCTCAGGAGCTGGAATGCACAAGAGCAGGGCAGAGCCTTGCAGTGTGCTCTACACTCCACACTCTGTAAAACGACTTTGGAGGGAGGCCTCTCATTTCAAAGCCATCAGAGACACTTCCCCACAGTAATCCTTCATCCTTGCTATTAAAGGAGCTGGAAGATCATGACCAAGTGAGGGGCAAGTGACTGACTCTGCTCACATCTAATCCCAAAGGAACAAAGGCTGTTAAGGACTAGTGAAAACTTTTAATTCTCTTCCTTCTTTCTAATAACGATCAAGAACTATCTTAAATCATAAAGATATAATATTAAAATAAGTAGCTTCTCAATTGCTCCATCCCAGCAAATTCCCAACTGAAAGAAAGGTGGGGAGAAAGTAGAAATAACCAAAAGAAAATACACTCTACTGAGAAAAGTAAAAATTTTGCAGTTGTACTCACAGAAGAGCAATTGGGAGGAAAGCCCTCCCGTTGGAATTAGACAGTAAGTGCAGAAGCTCTTGCATGCATTAACCTGAAGTCAGCATGCTCTTGAGTTAAGCACGCTCATCATTTGACTAGGTGTGGTGGTGCATGTCTTTAATCCCAGCACTTGGGAGGCACAGACAGGAAGATCTCTATGAGTTCAAGCCCAGTCTGGCCTACATAGTGAGTTCCAGGATAGCCCAGACTAACTCCCTTGCCTCCTCAAAAAGAGAAAAAAAGTGCTTGAATCTCACTCAGAAGGAGAAATAAAATAGACATTGAAAGTGGATGGATGGACAGGAGGAGGAGGGGAGCAGAGGTGAGGACCAGATGTGGCTTGGGGAGGGTTGGAAGAGAGGATGGAAATCCATGAGGGGGCATCTCTGGGGCAAGCTAGAGTCCTGGGATGGGGAGGCTCCTGAGAATCTGTAGGGGTGACCCTAGCTGAGACTCCTAGCAGAGTGTGGGGGTGGGATATGGAGCCTGAAGTGACCATCTCCTGTAGCCAGGTGGGACTTCCAGTGAAGGAAGGAGGACACCAACCCAAACATTCAACCCAAAATTTGTCCTGACTACAAGATGTACAAGGATAAAAATGGATCTGACCAGTGACTGCCCAATTTCAGATCCAGCCCATTGGAAAGAACCAACCTCTGACACTATTAATGATACTCTGCTATGCTCGCAGACAGGAACATAGCATAACTGTGTTCTGAGAGGCCTCATCCAGTAGCTGATGGAAACAGATCCACAGAGCCACAGCCAAACATTAGGCGGAGCTCAGGGAGTCTTGTGGAAGAGTCAGGGGAAGGACTGAAGTAGCCAAATAGGTCAAGGAAAATGACAAAAAGACCTACAGAGCCAACTAACCTGAGCCCATGGGGGCTCACAAAAACTGAACCAACCAAAGACCATGCATAGGTCCCCAACACATTTGTAACAGATGTGCAGCTTAGTCTTCATGTGGGTCTCCTAACAATGGGCTTTCTCTGACTCTGTTGCCTGCCACTGGATCCTTATCCCCTAGCTGGGCTACCTTACCTGGCCTCAGTGAGAGAGGATACACCTAGCCTTGCTGTGTCTTGATATGCCTGGGCCAGCTGGTACTCATGGTGGAGAGGGGGATCTCCCCTTCTCTGAGGAAGGGGAAGGGGGAAAGGAAGAGGATGAGAGGGGAAACTTAGAGGAGGGTGTCTGCAATTTGAATGGGAAAGAAGGAAGGAAGGAAGGGAGGGAGGGAGGGAGGGAGGGAGGG